TTGTTCCTGCATCCATTGGTCCATGTAGGTAGTCCTTGAACCCTATTCCTTCCTTCAACATTCCGTACACTTCTAGACCCTCCTTATCCTTGGATTCTTTCCTCAGATTCTGTTCTTCTCTCTCGGCACAAGCAACAGATATCTTCTCCTTGAACCCCTGTAGACCCTCCGTTTCCAGCGTTTCATCTTCGTCGATGTCGAGCCCCTTCCATACGTCCTCTACAACCTTGACGCATTCCGTGGGTTGTCTACCCCTCTTTTTGTTTGCCCACTTCGCCTCCCATACAATTCTCGGCAACCTCTCCTCTCCCATCCCGATGGCAGGAGGGGGGGGGCGTACTCGGGGGCTTGTCATCCACTAGACGACTATCTCAGCATCCTTCCTGGGACAGGATGGATCTTCGTTCTGTACGGTAGTGACTGCCTCGTATTGTTATACCATGTTGTCCCTTCTAGTCAACTACAGGCGCAACCATCCCTTTCGAAAGGCGGCGGCATCCCCCTCTCCCTTGTTATCGTCAAACTGTGTTCGGGGGGGGGAGGGGGGCGTTCACGCATGGAGGGGGGGGGCAGGGGAGGGGCACCGTAAGTCGCTTCCCCCACACGGTGTCACGCGCACTTCAACCACGGTTGGTTTCCCTCCGAGATCTAGAAATACCGTCCCGATTACTCTTGGAGAAACCGTGAAACATCGTTCTTTCGCGGGTGTGCCACCGTTTTCGTGGTGGCAAGCCGGGGGGGGTTCCGCCGTGTGTGTGTGTGGGGGGGGGGTCTCCTTGAGTGATATGCGAGTGGAGTAGCAACAGGGTGGGTACGGACACGATTTGGCCCCCATCAAGCTGAACGGCGGGGCTGCTGTTGGTGTACGACGTTTTTGTTGGCACACTTTGAGATAGGTTGGTGCTATAATGTGAGTGTACATAGGGCCTCTATAGCATATGCATAGGACTTCCAAAGCTAGGACCCCCAAAGCTATGACCTCTAAAGCCTAATTGACTCCTTTTGCAACGTGAAGACAAGAACTTGATAGTACCGGTTGACACGAATGATGGCTGTGACAGGGGCGGAGCTTGTCTAGCGGAGCGGTGGGCTTCGCGGTGGGGGCGGCCGTCATCCACACCGTGGCGGTCGTGCTTGGCGCTCCAATATTTCGGTACGACAACACTTCCAAAACGAGAAATAATAGAAAAATATTCACGACGTTTTTGACGTTCTCCCAATGATGAGAGTACATCTCAACGACGGACCAGGAGTATCCAGTGTGCGCGAGTTTTGTGATCCTTGCTTATCTGTCACCTTGCTGGCCGCGCAATCGTCCCTGCTGTCCACTTCTTTCCGCCTGTCGACTCTCCTCAGCTGCCTTCACATGTTTATTCAGGAAGCATGTTGGATAAAGCACGCAATCGGGGAAGTTGGGTCAGCGTTAGGGTTAGGGAATACGGTCTACGAACCCCGTCCCTGTAGTAGTTAATTTCGCGCGAGACGGTCCTTTCCTCCTGCTCGACCGCTTCACTGCATTGCTTTCTTCTTCTCTGTTCTCCAGGGAGCCTCACAATCACTCCGACCGGCACTGCACAGTAGCTTTGTATGCAGACTCTTGTTACCCCTGTGTACGTTGCCAACATATGATGTCGAGCATTCTTTTGGTGGTTTCCTGTGCCGTTTGTCCCCGCCCCCCAACAAACGCGACGCTCGTCAAGTGTTTCTTTCTCTCCCCTATACATGCCCCCCCCCCGGTGTTTGCCATCGGGGTTGGGTTCTCGTCGCTTGGCAACGACGTTGTAAAACAAGCCCCCCCCCCCCCCCCCGGTGTTTACCATCGGGGTTGGGTTTTCGTCGCCTGGCAACGACGTTGTAAAACAAGCAGCCCCCCCTCGGTGTTTGCCATCGGGATTGGGTTTTCGTCGCTTGGCAACGACGATATAAAACAAGCCAATTCACTTCGTGAACTCGGCAACCAGGATACCGTTTTTTTTTTTACTTATGTTTTTTTGGCGGTAACCATGATGGTGGTGGAGTAGATCATGTTGTGCGGGGTGGAGAACCCTCACAAGGGGGATGATCGCACCACGTCGTGTTAAAATGGTCAAACGCCCTCGAGTACACAGATCTTACAACANGCCAATTCACTTCGTGAACTCGGCAACCAGGATACCGTTTTTTTTTTTACTTATGTTTTTTTGGCGGTAACCATGATGGTGGTGGAGTAGATCATGTTGTGCGGGGTGGAGAACCCTCACAAGGGGGATGATCGCACCACGTCGTGTTAAAATGGTCAAACGCCCTCGAGTACACAGATCTTACAACAGTCTCTGGAAGTGAAAGCACCAGAAAATAAATTAAGCCATACGCAGCTGTCATCCGTACGCAAGGAAGTAAGCACAAGTTGCCGAACAGCCTTAGCAGGATGCAGCGCACCCTTCATGCGACTCGCCGAATACCTCACGGCGCTTCGCGCCTGGTGATGTGAGAGCCTGGTCCGGTGAGAACCCGGGGTGCTCCGTCGCGGCTTTCTTTGTAGGGATGCAAGGTCAATGGTCTAACGACTACGGCATGCACAACTATGAGTACCCCTCCCCTGACCCCCCCCCCCCTATACATTCCCAATTCACTTTTCCTACGTGTCTGCATTTTTGTTTTTTTCTTCGTTCGCGCGTCAACGCGTCCGTTTCAGCCGCGTTCCCGAGACGGCCACGTTCTCGCTTCTCATGTCGTCTCTCACGTCGCTCCCTGTGTCGGCTACGAGCCGCCGACCCTTGGAGACCTGCGCCGCCTTTCTCCGCGGCACTAGGTACGTACGATCTACAGGGCACCTCTCCCTCTTGCACCCGCCGCGCCTAAGTTCTCGCAAGACGCTCACTGTTATTTTTACGAAATGCCCATTTATTCAAAGAAAGGCTACCCGTTGGAGATATAACCAACCACGGCGGAAGGGTATGGGTCCAAGTCTTTTCAGTAAATGAGGGGAAAAGCCTACTGCATACTGGGCTTTTTCAGGCATGGGGACAACCCGTGTGTCACCGTGCTCGTCGGTGCAGCGGAGCTATGTGACAAGAACGACAGGTTTGTTCTCGGCGAGGCCTCCCGGAGGAGAAAAGGAATGTTCGTGGTGTTTACACGGACGTGCTTGCTGTACCGACATGGTCCTGAGTTTCCGGGGAAAGACGAGTGCGAAGGTGCAGCAATCGAATTTCGCAGCGTCTCAGGCCTCGACAACGAACAGCGGCAATCGGGCGGTGTGTCTTCAAGGGTGTTTTTTTTTTCATTCAAGTGCACACTTAATGCACGCAATGCATTGTGTCCACACGCGTGTGTATGTGCTTTGACTGGGTGGTTGGCCCTGACCGGATGACCAACGAGAGAGGACGTACGTGAGTCTCTCCGTGCGCTTGAGAACGGAAAACGCTTTATGAGACCAAATGTGTGTGGTTGTACGTTGTCAGCGTGTCAATGGAGAGGTACAGCAGAACACACCGACTAGCAGACCAATGAAATGAAAATATTTTCTGCGGAGCCCCCTAGCAGCAGGGCCAGGCCGCGACGTGTGTATGCAACCAAATCCATCTCCGCGTACCCCCTGTTTCTTGGTCCATCCCGTGAACCGTATTGCCAAGGACGGCGAAAACCCGGCGTATCGCTCCGTCCCGGCACTGTAGGGAAATCGAGGTCAATGCTCCAACGACTGTGGCATGCGCCTGCATGAGTATCCCCCCCCCCCTCCCCTTTTCGTAGGCCTGCCTTGCACGAGCCGGGTGCGATGGTTCCAGCGGCATGCTGCGTGCTTGGAGCTTGGTTAGGGGCCATACCGCTGTGCTTGGATTGGGAGCAGCCATGGCAGGTAATAGCAGCTAATTTATCATCAGCTTTTGCCAACTGCACCCAATTGCTTCATTTACGTGTGGGATAGGTTGGTTACCCTTTGTGATTCAGGTACGCTCTGCGTCTATATGTGATGTTTGCATGGTGTGTATTTCTCCGCGTGAGGTGAGGTGGTTCGGAGCGAAACAGGACATGCTGCGTGAGGAAGTCCGGGGTGGCCGTTCTTGGTAGGTTTGAACAAAACATGAAGGCGGCAATGCCCACAAGAACAACGACGATTGCGATCCCAACGATAGCAGTAGCAGCGACAGCAGCATTCCAGCATTACAGTGACGAAGACTACGACGACAACAACGACAACAAGGTCATTGCGGCGTAAGAACAACAGCTAAACAAAATTTACAACGACAACGACAGCACCAACACTAAGTCGCCCTCCCCCCCGCCGAATTTCTGCTTTCTTCCAGGCGTGGCCACTACCGATGTGCGCAGGGGGGCTGCTGGGTTTCTCCTTGGGGTGCCTCTTGCTGCTGGGCTATCAAATCTTGGAGAACGTTAGCCGAGCATTCTCTGTATGGTCATCCGAGTGGCGAGCTGAGAAACGCGCCGAATAGACTAATGTGGGGAGTCTAATGATCATCCGGCACCTCGTGTTCCTTGTGAACACACGGGGGCAAGCCTGTTCATTGCAAGTCCTGAGATCGACACAACAAGTCGTGGACGTGGGAGATGTTGGAAGGCGTCTTGGTATGTATGTAATGTAACGCTTGTGTGTAGGAGATGTTGGCGAAAAGCCGTCCTATAGTCCTTGCCTTTCGAAGCAGCGCCGTGCGGGGATCGGATGAGAAGCAAATCGTTTTGAAGCGTGTGTTGGGTGTGAGATCAATACACGACGTGGACGTGGGAGATTCATGATTTGCGTTAGGTAAGACCCTGGGGGATCGGGCGAGGCAGCCTTGTGTGCTTTCCCCGATCGCAACAGAAAGAAAAGGTGAAGGAAGCAAACTTATAGACTGGCCAATGCTATGAATTCATGGCCGAATGATCCCGAACTGTTTTTTATCCTTGGAATCGAGATGAGTTCTTTGTGTTTTCGTACGAAAAAAAACAAAACTGACTAGGGACCACGTCCATTGGTATGCTCGTGAGCGATAAACCCCACAGGCTAAAGTTCCCCCCTCGGAGATGCCCTTGGTTTTTCGCCCTTTCGTTTCGACCTGTGTCATCGGTAGGGGTGAGCTCGCGACATACATGTAGCGCTTGTGACCACGAGATGATAACCCGTGTCTTCTTTGGAAAGAAGGGAAGAGGAGGTCGGTCATGATGCGAGAGGTTGGCCTCTCATCTCTGCGACGCATGCATCGCCAACAACGTCGATTCTGATCGGAACGGATGGCTTTGGCTCCACGCGAAGAAGCGTGTTGTTTGTTTGTGTGTAGGACTCCTTCCCTTCTCATGTCCGATGTCTCAACGATAGCCCAAACACAAACATGGATCGACGCAACGGCACATTCTGTTGGTACACCTGACAAACGTCACTCCGACGGAAAGACGAGCACCACCGAGGGTGCTGCTTCTTGTGGCTTTTCCGACGCTCAACATGGACGGACACGATTATTGATCCGAGTTGTTTTGCCCAGAGCAAGGTCGTGTTTCCGTTAGCATTGCAAGTCTGACTACCATATGCACAGCCTTCCTCCAAGATCATCGGACCTGTGTAATCGCATGAAGATCCACCACGTCCACCTGCAGCACAGCGGTATTGCGTGGTCCGCTGAGCTGACACGGTAGGGTGCCACAGAAATCTCTTGCCCTTTTCACGCCGGTGTTACGTTCTTTACAGGAGATACGGTAGGGGGTCAGAAACAGATACATTTCCTCCACAATACATGATCAGGATCAGATAGTTAGACAATACCCATACCGTACCACCACGGTTCCCCGGTTTCACAACAAACGCGAAAACGTAACGCCGTCGGGAAAGACGATAAAATCCCGCCGCACACAGCTGTGTGATTGCGGGACCGATCAACGACCACACTCTCGTCATAGTGCCGGGCCCCCTACTTTTCACCGCGCGGCTGCGCCCCTGGTATCCTAGGAGAAGTCCCAGCCTCTCGTCTGAACCAGAGTCGTAACCACACACCCTCAAGAGAGGACGGAAGACCTATCTTGAGAGAGCAGAGCACGATTTCTGCTTTAGGCAGAGGCATGAGAAGACGCATCGGTAGATGCAACAGCCAAGACGCCGCACTCGGGAGACTCAACATATTCGTTCCTGCTCGTCGCTCCCGCACCGTGCTACTGCCGCTGCTGTCGTCTCCACCGGAAAGACGCGTAGCTTGTCATGAATCGTGCGGTGTACAACCGGGAATCACCTCCCCACCTTCAAAAGCCGAGCACCCCATCTTGTGTGGTACCACATCAGAGTATTGCGGCAGCCATCCCACCGTCTCCAAGAGGAGAACCAAATCATTGGCACGCAACGACACTTATGCGTTAACGCCAACAAAGCAAAAGCCGAAACCCATGTGCTTATGTTGTTGTCTTTACATTGAAAACCGTTCCGATTTTCGTCATTAGAGTTACTATTCCGACTCGCTGCTATCCTCGGTGATGCTGCGGTGCAAGCGCTTGCCACCTCGGCCAGGCGTTGACCCCTGGGCAGAGGGAGACAGCAACCAGGGGAGAGGAGAACAAAACAAGAAGGGAAGGGAGAGAAGGGAAGGTTGCGAGAGTGAAAGAGGGTGGAGTGGAGACCAGAGGAAGGACAAGAAAAAACGACTCTCGATCGCCGGTACATTGACTAGTGAAATGAGCGTTACCACGGCGGTTTGGAGAACAAGCAGGCAAGCAACACTTGGATTTTGATTTTATCCTATGTTAGCGACCACGCCACCTATATGATACTTACCAGCGTGGTTTTGTTGCGTAAAAACGAACTGTTATGAAGGAAGGACGTTTGAAAATGGTGGACAAATGTGACCGATAGGGTCCGCAGTAGCCCCGTGGAACGCGAAGAAATGAGTCCCCACCCCCTCCCCCCCCCCCGGTGTTTGCCATCGGGATTGGGTTTCGTCGCTTGGCAACGACGTTGGAAAACAAGCCGCGCCCCCTCACGCCCCCCCGGTGTTTGCCATCGGGGTTGGGCTTTCGTCGCTTGGCAACGACGTTGGAAAACAAGCCGCGCCCCCTCACGCCCCCCCGGTGTTTGCCATCGGGGTTGGGTTTTCGTCGCTTGGCAACGACGTTGGAAAACAAGCCGCGCCCCCTCACGCCCCCCCGGTGTTTGCCATCGGGGTTGGGCTTTCGTCGCTTGGCAGCGACGTTGGAAAACAAGCCGCGCCCCCTCACGCCCCCCCGGTGTTTGCCATCGGGGTTGGGCTTTCGTCGCTTGGCAACGACGTCGTAAAACGAGCCCCCCCCCGCGGTGTTCGCCATCGGGGTTGGGTTTGCGTCGCTTGGCAACGACGTTGTAAAACAAGCCAATTCACTTCATGAACTCGGCAACCAGGATACCGTTTTGTTTTTTACCTCCANGGTTGGGTTTTCGTCGCTTGGCAACGACGTCGTAAAACGAGCCCCCCCCCGCGGTGTTCNAATAGTGGCTCAGCATGGTACGCACCATGGAGCGCATCATCCGCTTGTGGCACGTCCTGAGAAAGCTGTACAGCGACGAGGGGAAAGTCTTTCCACTTGAATAGGACGACAACAAGAACGATGTTCTTCAGCTCTACTCGCTGTTGGAGCCGCTTTGCATGATCACCCGTGATGGCCAGTACGGGGGTGCACCGATGATGGCGGACATCTACATGAAGATGGGCATCCTCAAGATGGGAGTGCTGAACCTGGAGAAGGAGCTCAAGGTCTACGAAACCCCGCGCGTTGGGGAAGGCGGACTCCCGGACCGCGAGGAACATAAGAAACCCCTGCCGCACAAGATGGTAGCACACGGCAACTTGCACCCCGCGGCAAAGAAGGGGCAGGAGGAACTCTGTCGTGCACTCGTGACAAGGCTCTTCGGTAGATACTGGGCCGGCTGTGTGGATCCCTCTTCTTCGTCGATGCTTCCTGCCTCCTCACGCCGCCGTACAGTTCCGGAATGCACATTTCGGCGATGAAGCTCACAGAAGAGGAGGGCGACTTCTTGCCCACCGGCTTGACAGTGCTAACCCCTGCAACGGACGAAGACGTGGAAGACAAGAAGGCGGAGGCCTGGGGCATGATCAAGAAGCGAGCCATGCAAGCCGTCAAGGAAGAGCAGGCTCGGGCCAAAGGCAGTGGCGACGGCGGGGGGGATGCGGGTCCTTTCAAGCGTGCCCGCACTAAGGGGAACGGATCAGCCCGCAATGGTGCTGGCGAGGACCACTTCGCAGTTTTCTGCACCGCAGGCGCCGTGGAACAAAGCGGCATTTGGGATGATGTGGATTTGAGCGCTGCGGGCGAGATCCAGCGGTACAGGGCACTTCAGATGAACTCATCCGACGCGAGTAAATAAAAACCACCTTAATGTGAAATGAAAATACGTCTCCTCAACGCAGAGATGGCCCTTGATCCGCTGGAAAACAAGACACCTCCCAACACGTCTGCTATTGGCGATAACGGGGATGGGTAGTCATCAGTGTAGGAGGATTGGAGGATGTGGAGTACTACACATGACCACCAAGGCCGAGGGACGGGGCGAGGGAGCATCGGGCGGGGAGGAGGGGGGGGTTCAAAGCAGCGTAGATAGGATTAGGATTAGGATTAGGATTTTCAAAGGGTGGAGAAGTGTGAAGTGCACGTGGAGAAGTGGTAGTGCTAGTACTGCTTCGGTGCTTCATGCATATGCATCTGTGCATCTGTGCTATCCCTACTGACCAAGACAGCAGTCTCTCTTAACCCTACCACTGTAGTATATATTGTCACTATTATTATAGTACGGCTCTCGATACTCCGCTCAACCAACCAGTACGCTCAGTACGAGCTCTGGTGGAGGTCTGCTCTCCATCCTGTACTGGCGTAATACTGCGCAACACTGCACGCTTCAGTACAGCGCTTGACACTGGCGGTACTGCACAGTATTCAGTACCTGCGAGGCATACTGGAATGTACTGGCTGTTTCAGTACAGCTCTCGATACTGGAATAAATAGTTTCAGTACTTTCAGTACAGCTTTCGATACTGGAATAAAAGTTTCAGTACTTTTAGTACAGCTCGCGGTACTGGAATAAACTGCACCCTTAGTACGGCTCTTGATACTGTATGTACTGGCTGTTTTAGAACAGCTCTCGATACTGGAATAAAACTTGCAGTACTTTTAGTACAGCTCCCGGTGCTGGAATGTACTGTACTGACAACACGGCCCTCAGTACTGTACTGTACTGTACTGGCTGCTTTAGTACGGACTTCAATACTGGAATAAAAGTACTGTACGCTACTAAACACACCCTTGCAATGATGAGAGAAAAACAAAAACAAACAAACATGCATATTCATGTCAACCATGCTGGATCGGTCTCGCTTTCACAGCGTGACCCGTGCGTCTCGCATGTAGTCTAGACTGCAGCAAGCAGTCGCTCCACGGGGTATCGTACGCGCGTGTGTGCATGTTTCCAAACGGAACAATTGTGCTGGAATACGTGTTACCCGGCCATTGTTGACTTAGAGCGCAAGTGTTGACGGTTGATGTTGTTTCGCAGGGGCGGAAACTGATTCCTGCCCCGTTGCCATGGTTGTTATTGGGCGGGAAGAGTCGCCGTTTGGTATCCCATGGTTGGAGGGGAAAGAGAGTTGGGAAGATTCCTGCGGGGGAAATGATTGATGAAAGGGTCCAATTTCCCGACAGATCAGGGTACATTTCCGAAAACAGGGTACAGTTATTGAGAAAAGTAGTCACGGCAGGGTATAACCTGCGCCTTTTCGGACGCACCGGGTTGAAATTGGGCGCTGACCAATGATATGAGTGCATTTACTGCTGATAATGACTGTGTACCCAGGTGTGTCGCTTTTCGACCAGGGTATACCCACAATTCTCTTTTTTTTACCTCTGTTTCTTTTTGGCGGTAACCGTAATGGTGGTCGAGTAGATCATGTTGTGCGGGGTGGAGAAGCCTCGCTCCGCGCAAGGGTGGGATGATCGCACCACGTTGTGTTAGAATGGCCAAGCACCCTCGAGGCAGTTACACAGTGCTCACAACTGTCTCTGGAAGTGAAAGCACCAGAAAATAAATTAAGTCATACGCAGCTGTCATCCATACGCAAGGAAGTAAGCACAAGATGCCGAACACCCTTAGCAGGATGAAGCGCACCCTTCATGCGACTCGCCGAACATCTCACGGCGCTTCGCGCTTGGTGATGTGAGAGCCTAGTCCCGTGAGAACCCGGCGCGCTCCGTCCCGGCTTCGTAGAGATGCGAGGCCAAAGGTCTAACGACTATGGCATTCGCACGGATATGAGTACACCCCCTCCGCACTCCACCTGTACCTGCGACGCTGCCGGGCGCTTCCGTACGTCCCGCCCATCGTCCGAATCTTCCTCCTCCTCCTCCTCCTCCTCCTCATCGTCGTACATACGGGTCCCCGATCCCCTCCCCCTTGACGTCGCCGCCTTGCCCTTGCCTGCCGTCCATTTGGTAGGGATGCTCCTTTATTCGCTGTTGCTGTGGTTTTGCTTCGGAGCAAATTGTACGTGAAACCGCTCTACACACGTCCTCCGTACCACGAACAACCCGCTACATGGAATATCGAAGAGTTTGGCAAGAAAGCGGTAACAGGAGTGCGGCATTTCGAAAGGAGTGCGTCGTGGTCCCCCCCCCGCCCCGCCTCCTTCACACCGTTACAGCAGGATGCAGCGCACCCTCCATGCGAATTGCCGAATTCCTCACGGCGCTTTCGCTATGTGATAGCCTAGTCCGGCAATAACCTGGTGTACGCCGTCCCGAGTGCGAGGTCAATGGTCTAACGCCTACCTACGGCCGAGTACCCCCCCCCCCCCCCC